ATAGGCGATAGGGAGTGAGGGACATTCCATTACACCAATGCACACACACACACACACACACACACACACACACACACACACACACACATATATATATATATATATATATATACACAAACCCACACACACTGAGGTCAACACCAAGTGGTGACAATCAGTTTCATGCTTGACTGTAACCTTTGGGCCTGAAGATTATGTTCAAACATATGAACAGACTGTTGCCAGTTGGTGTTGAACCAAATGTTCACTTTCTATTTAGCTTATGTTGATCACTTTTATTCACAAATATAGCAGACCTTAAAACTATATTTGTGAATAAAAGTGATCAATATTAGAGCGAGAGCATATGTAAATAGAAAGTGGACACTGGTTTCAACACCAACTGGCAACAGTCTGTTTATATATATATATATATATATATGTGTGTATGTATGTGTGTGTGTGTGTGTGTGTGTGTGTGTGTGTGTGTGGCTTATGAGCAAATGAAAAAATGGTAAAAAATGGAAAACATCTAAGTGAAGAGTTTCGTTTGGAGGAAAGACTAAAAACATTTTTTACTGATGGAATTAATCTTATATATAAAAGGGAGAATAAAATAAAAGGAACGCCGGTTGCAATTTACGTTGAAATACTAAAGATAGAAAGACAAGTAGATTTAAATTTCAATACTACTAAACATATATTCGAACATTTACCCCACTATTAGCTCCGCAACGCTGTAGGCAAACATCTGTCTATATTTCTGAGATGAGATATTGTAACTATTTACACTATTTCTAACCGAACTCTTTATTTAGTTCATTGGGATAGATTGTCTCCAAGAACACGTGGCCGGGGTATAAAATTGATCGAGAAAAGTGACTTGACCCAAAGGGCTGTGAATTCAATACAAAGCCACAGCAGAAGGAACACAAACTTGTTGACTTACTAAAGGGAATTAACTGATACTAAGATATCCAAAGGAATGGCCTGTGAATTAGGACAATCTACTACCGGGGACTAAATAAATGATTCGGTCCGAAATTCCAACGTATATCACCTGAAGAAGGGCGGAGTGTACAACGAACGAAACGTCGTGGATATATCAATAAAAATAAGGACAACAGTCCGAACAAGGTAAATAGAGTTGTAGGAAACCTTATAATCATATCACACGCACGCATACATACATACTCACGCATACACACAGACACACATATGTAAAAATATGATTGCCATGTCAAACCAGCACACGTCGCTCCGTCTCCATCGGCAATACTCCTGTGAAGAGATATCTGCACATATAGATGGCAATGCTACATGCTTCTGCTACATATATAACATCCTCTCCATCCCTTTAGTCTGATGATTAATGACAAGCAAGATGACTGAACGAATAAAGGAATCGCATATTTTATTTTCACGGAGTTTGACCTCACCGATATATATATATATATATATATATATATATATATATATATATATATATAACAATATTATATATATATATAACAAAAACCAGGTTTGCAGATATATCGTATATTATGCACTAAGTACACCAGAAGAGTATTACACGACTAGTGAGAGTGTATCGAATGAACCAGCACTCAATCTATTCACTGTTCCCTGTTCCCCGAACCTTCTCTCCTACTAATCTTATAGTAGGCGGAATAGTTTAATATAGACTCTTTAGTGGGAGGACATCACAACAATATATTATATATTTTATATATTATGTGTATATATATATATATATATATATATATATATATATATATATATATGAAGAAAATATATACGAAAAAAAACAAAAAAATCCTTATCCCTTTTTTTTTTCCGTATATATTTTCTTCATACTGTCGGATTTATATCCATATATTTGCTTACACACACACACACACAGACACACACACACACACACACACACACACACACATATATATATATATATATATATATATATATATATATATATGTTGTGGTGTCCATCCTCTAAGAATCTATGTTAGACTCTTCCGCCTACTATGAGTTTAGTAAGAGAGAAAGAACAGGGAACAGTGAATGGATTGAGAGCTAGTTCATTCCAAGATGTTGTGACCAAGTAAATGGTTAAGTAATAACAAAAACCAGGTTTGCAGATATATAGTATATTAAGCACTAAGTACACCAGAAGAGTATTACATGACTAGTAAGAGTGTATCGAATGAACTAGCGCTCAATATATTCATTGTTCCACCAAGACCTTCTCTTCTACTAATCTTATAGTAGGCGGAAGAGTCTAACATAGACTCTTAGAGGGAGGACACCACAACAATATATATATATATGTGTGTGTGTGTGTGTGTGTGTTTTGTGGTGTCCTCCCTCTAAAAATCTATGTTAGACTCTTCCGCTTACTATGAGTTTAGTAAGAGAGAAAGAACAGGGAACAGTGAATGGATTGAGTGCTAGTTTATTCCAAGATGTTGTGACCAAGTAAATGGTTAAGTAATAACAAAAAACCAGGTTTGCAGATATATAGTATATTAAGCACTAAGTACACCAGAAGAGTATTGCACGACTAGTGAGAGTGTATCGAATGAACTAGCGCTCAATATATTTACTGTTCTCCGAAGTCTTCTGTCCATCTAATCTTATAATAGGCGAATGTGTCTAACATAGTCTCTTAAAAGGGAGATCATCACAACAAAGACAAACTATAGAACAATATGCCTATCTTGCCGACTATTCACTAGATAGATTCTCCCTCTTCTCTTCATGTCAGACTAATTTTAAGTACGTTTTTAATCGAATGGTGGTGAGCAGGGAAAATGAAATCGACTACTCTAAATGAATATGATCGCCACCGTTTATTATAGCTTAGGAACATGACGAGCTAATATAAGTCTGCGTTTTTCGGAAAAAAATATATTGTGTCATAATATTCAGGGTGTAATGGAAAATAGTGTTGCTGTTGTGGAGCGGCGATTGACAAAATTATCTCACAGAAGAATTAGTTACCGTAGTGTGCCTGATCGTCACTGTGAGACGCACTATACTGGCCTAATGGGACGTACAGCTCAACTCAGTAAATAGCTACAATGAATTACGAATAAAGATGTGTCTGGCTTCTGTCGAGCGATAAACGAATTATATAAATATGTTAGTGAACGTTTTTGTTATCTTGAAGCGTTTTCGTGAGAAATTGAAAAAAAAAAATAAGTAAATAAAAGAAGAGCTATAAAATGTTACGTAAACGACGTGGTTATATTTTGATCCCAGAAAGAAATTTGGAATCGAACGTGAGCGAAGTTGCTCATGCTCTGCAAGCGTCCCAAAGGAAATCGTCGCTTTGCTCGGAGAAATAACGGAATTCTGGCAACTAAATCTAATTTTAAAGTCGGCAGTCGATTGAAAAATAACACCAAAAATAGATTGAAACCTTAGAACATTTTCAGCTTTATCGATAGGAATATATTAGGATTGGTGCATAATTATCAGGCGTTTTTATAGGCGAGTTATTTGTTAATAAAAAATGCTGTTTTGTTTACTTCTTTTAATAAAAATATTATTTTATTTTCAGGTTATAAAAATGCCTGTCGATAATCATACTCATATTCGTCATATTATACTTTACGGTGGAGTAATGGATGCAGCACAGATTGAGGAATCGGAGAGCCGAGTTCGAATTCCAGTCGAATCCATTACATTCACTTACGTTGGGAAAGGTATGAATTCTCTTCTTCTCCCTCAGCTATGGGTAAATAGCAGAACAGAACGGATTCTATAGCCTTGGATGGTAACTGGTCTAGCGCATAAAGAAATGGCAACCTAGTGCGGGGAAAAGAAATCTGCCTCATCAGTAAAGTATCGAAAGATACATGATCGCCTAAGCGTGTATCACGCATGGCACATAACTAACTGAAATTCACTTACGTGCTAATACCCTTGGGAAAGGTATGAATCCTCTTCTCCCCTCCAGCTATAGAGAAATAGCAAGGTAGATAGGGTTCTATAGCCTTGGGTGGCAACTGGTCTACCGCAGAAAGCAATGGCAACCTACTGTGGGAAAAATCTGCCTCGCCAGTCATGTATCGAAAGATACATGATCGCCTAAGCGTATATCACGCATGGCACATAACTGACTGAAATTCACTTACGTGCTAATACCCTTGGGAAAGTTATGAATCCTCTTCTTTTCCCCCAGCTATGGGTAAATAGCAAGGTAGATCGGGTTCTATAGCCTTGGGTGGCAACTGGTCAGCTGCAGAAAGAACTGGCAACCTACTGTGGGCGAAAATCTGCCTCGTCAGTCATGTATCGAAAGATACATGATCGCCTAAGCGTGTATCACGCGTGGCACATAACTGACTGAGTGACTTCGAAAACGGATGGAGAGGAGCGTAGACATTTCGCGATCTCAACGAACATTTTGACGAAGGAACCATCAGCAAAAGTCGATGCAGGGAATGGTTTGCCTGTTTCAAATCTGGCGACATTAGCTTGGAAGATAAACCAGGAAGAGGTCGACCAACGGATTTCGACGACCAGGAACTTTTGGCAGCTGTGGAAGTGGACGAAAGCTTGATGACTCGAATACTGGCCGAAAACTTCAACGTGGACCATTCAACCATCGTTCGTAGTCTAAAAAAGCTCGGAAAGGCGTGAAAATTGTCTGGATGGGTCCACCACGAACTCTCTGACAACAATATAGCCGAATGTAACCAAATTTCTACTGATTTGCTGCAACGAAACGAGAAAGCTCCGTTTCTGAAGAATCTTGTCACTGGGGATGAATCATGATTTCTCTTGAAAAACGTCAAAAGAAAGAAGGTCTGCGTTTGGACAGGAGTTTTACCAAAAGGGATACCTAAAAATGTGCACTGAATGAAGGCAATGTGATTTGTTTAGTGAAAAAGAAGCGGAATCATCCTTTGGGAAATCATTTCAAATGGGATTTAGGTATTGGTGGAATGACAACGATGAGTGTCAACAATGGTGGATTCCAGACAAAAACGGCAAGCGGGAATTGAACATCAATAATGATGTCTGTCTGGCTTAACTTGACCGCCGTTAGGCTGCAATCGAGACGAAAAGACCGCGCAAAAAGAACCATATTATCTTCCACCATTATAATGCGCGTCCACATGTTGAGCATCGTATTGTCGAATGTATCGCCAATAAGGGTTGGAAACTTCTCCCCACCCCCCCTATTATCCCACAGAAGCACCTACGGACTACCATGTGAATCGATCATTGAAAAATTGGCAGATAAACAAAGTTTATGCCAATTTGGATAACTTGGTGCCTGATGTCAATGCATGAATTGCATTCAAAAACCGTAACTTCTTTGCCTGTGGAATCGGCCGTCTTCCAAGCAAATGAGAAGCAGTTATTAAAGTAGATGGTGGCTAAAAAATTCCTTTTTTTACGCCTCAACTTGCTATTACGTTGTAAACGTCATCAACTCAGTTTGTTTTCCTTGATTTGAATTCTTAAGCGTTTCTAGTTTCTTTGCACTGTTTTTACTCAAATTAAAAGAGTGACCAAGACTAGCAACTGCTAGGTGAAATATTTCCATAAAATAAATCATTCGTTGGAACTACAAGTCTTTTATTTTAATTATGCAACTACCAACGGAGATAAGCATCTTAACATTCATTTTGTGTGTTGTTATGCAAAATGTCTTTTTTGTGTTAATCTTTTATTTAAATTCCTTGAGGTTTCTCCTATGTATTTTTTACGACATTTATTACAGGTGATAGAATAAATTCCACGTTCAAGTTTCTATCTATCGTTTGAATTACGCACTACTAAGTGCGTAATTCAAACGATAGATAGAAAACATAAACAAAACATATGAAAATCAAATAAATGTGTAAATTGATGAAATATTTACAATATGAAATAATTGGTCCCGGAGGCCCCAATTCCGCGTGCCGACGGCGTAACGACTATCGGCACGGAAAATGAAATCGGTAGGCGCATAATGAGAAAGGAAAGCTTTGAAAATTTGACAAGCACAAGACATATTAAAGTCAAGAGAGCCAGAGGGATAGAGGTTCATGACCTACCTAACAAGCTTGTGTAAATAGTTGACCGAAAAGGGATTTGGAGATATAGCTAAAAGACAAACTTCACTAAGGGTTAGAAAGGACAGGGAATTGTGGAGAACCATGATCGCCCACGTCCTGAGGCGACATTGCAAATAAAAGAAGACATGGTTGCCTCTGAAGATTTAATGTTTACCAACATGTTGCTTCTTTTGATAAGTTCATTATTGTAATGACTACGTTTTATTGACAAAAATTTTCAGCCATATTTATTTATTCAGTGTCGAGTTTTGCCACTTTTTCTTGCGCCTATCAGATTTCATTACTGATTTTCGCCCTGGGGTAGAACCGTTCGACCAAACTCTTGCGACCAGGCGAGGAAGGGAAGGGCTGGTTCGTTCGCGTTGTTATTGGACAAAAGCGAAATGCATGATTATTATTATTTTGTTTTTTTTTTGAGAGGCGAGGAATTCAGGATTATAAATTCAAGCCGTCAGGTAGAAAAGAAGATTTCCGAAGAGTGGTCTTGTATTTTGCCGGGTGAAACAGGAAAGGAAGGAGATTGCCAGCGGATAGACCTGAATACCTAACGTCGTCTAAAAAATATCTATGATAGGATGTTTTTTTATATCTGTTTGTCTATCTATAAATTTATCTATGATAGTATTTCTTTCGCAGTCTATCTATTTATGTATCTATATATCTGACTATCTCAGCTTTTATAACCCTATCTATCTATCTATCTATCTATCTATCTATCTATCTATCTATCTGTGAAATGTGTATGTATAATATATATATATATATATATATATATATATATATATATGTATGCAAGGTTTTTATATACATTTTTTATACATTATATATGCGTGGTACTAATTGGAAAATGCTCAATATCACTGATAGAGATAACATATTTACTTGGATTGATGTGAGTTTGTGACTCTGGGTTTCATGCTGTCTGATGATCGCAAATAGTGTGAAACCCAGGGTCACAAACTCACATGAAACCAACTAAATCTATCTATCTATCTATCTATCTATCTATCTCGATACCGTGAATATGTGCATTATTTTACCCATATATATATATATATATATATATATATATATATATATATTTATATATATATGTGTGTGTTTGTGTGTGTATACGAAATACGAAACTTACAATCTAAAAAAGCTCCACCTTCTTGCAAACTCCTGAATCTTTTTGAAAGAGATCTGTTTAATCTAGTTAAAAATGAAATTCAGAAAGTTGTCCAACCAATTCCAAGAAAAAGTTAAACAAGGACATAAAACCTATTAAGAACTCTAAAGACATTTGGGTTAGAGTTGACAAATCTGAAAACATTTATAAATCTAACCCCCTCACAATACCACAAAAATTCTCACTAACAAACTAACAGACATGTATAAACTAGATAGATATAACAGAAGAATCTCCGAGATCGACCATGAGACTCTGCCAATTTCACAAACAATTTAAATATTGAGTATAGAGTGGGATGCAGACCTTATTTAAAAATCACAAACCTAACTTCGCTAATAGCATACAGTCTATATTGATAAATCCAACAAAATAAATCAAGTAGGTCTAATCTAAAAAAAACTATAATGAAAAAAGTAACCGATAAATTACTAATTAAAGTCTGTACTAATCTCTGGAAGGAATCGTCAGATACAATCAAATGGTTTGCCAATATGGGTGAAAAGGAAAGAGCTACATTTATTAAATTTGATATCATAGATTTCTATTCCTCCAGCTCCAGGGATCTCTTGGTTAATTGTATTAACTCTGCAAAATACTATATAGTGATCACGGATGAGGAGACTAATATCATCTTAACAGCTAGGGAATCACTTTTAGCTCTTAACAATTCCACCTGGACTAAGTGCCTTAATGACAATTTTGATAATCCTAAGGGCGCATACAATTCAGCCCAGGTTGCTGATTTATTATGTTTTTATACTTTAAATATATTTAGTAGGTTGTAGATTCCAAGCAGATAGGCCTATATAGAGATGATGGACTCATTTTCATACCCAGTAGCAGTGGTCCACTAACAGCGAAGATACGAAAGAAAATCCTTAGAGCCTCAACCTTAAAATAGTTGATTATCTAGACATCACCCTTAACCTCAATAATAAAACGTTTAAACCATACCATAAAGACAATGAAGCGCCCATCTATATTAATGTTAATTCTAACCAGCCCAATGCCATTGTGAAACCGATACCTGCTACCATCGGCACTAGGATTAGTCGATTATCATCCAACATATACATCTTTAATAAAAATAAATAATTGTATGAAAATGCTCTCCATAAAAATTCTTTTAAAAATAAATTATCTTATCTAACCCCTATAAGTAACACTGAAATATCTAAAGTGAAATGTAGACACAGAAATAGAAAAAGAAAAATTATATGGTTCAGTCTTCCCCCACTTCTGCAAACTATCAAATATTAATATCAGACAGTATTTTCTAAAGTTAATAAATAACCATTTTCATAAAAACAACGCTCTAACTAAGATCTTCAATAGGAAAACGATTCAAATTAGCTACTTCTGTACCAATAACATGTATAAAATTATCAACTCACATAATAAGTATATTTTAAGAAATTTCTATGGGATAAACAGCAAACCTGGTATTGAACCTTCCTGTAATTGTAGATATAAAGAAAATTGTCCAGTAGAAGGCAAATACAAATCTACGAGGGTTATATGTCAAGCAACCATTTCCTCCCAAAGAAAATATGAAAAATTATAAGGTTTACATTGGAATTTCCGCAGGAGAATGGAAAGAGAAATTTTATGCCCATAGGCACTCATTTTCTAACCTTAAACAAAAACAAAGAAATTTTGGGAATTGAAGGAGAGAGGTTTGAACCCACAGAAAAATTGGAAGATTATAGGTTCCGCACATACTCCTAATAGTCTTAGAGATAGGTGTGACTTATGTTTAGAAGAAAAAATTACAATAATAAAATACAATAATCAAAGCTAACTATTGAATCGAAGGAATGAATTAGTAATAAATTGTCGACATAAAAACAAATTCAAATTTCCATAATATAGGTTTTACGTAATTAGCTACTATATTTCTCTAACTCTTCAAATGTCGAATGTATAACTAATTCCAATTTCTATAATTCAATCTTTGTACTATATTACTTTTATCTTATAAATTGTCCCCTGTTCTAAGAACTCTCTTTTCTTTTTCCACTTACATCTCTTTATATTTTAAGTTTTTAAAAAAAATATAATTTTGTATTTTTAAGTATAACTCTATTTTTTAATATTACTTGTTTGTAGCTATAACTAATTTAAAATATAACTTTTATATTTTATTTTATTTCTTTATATTTTTATTTTTAAATATATACGTTTTTATCTTATATTTATATTTTTATTTTTTTTAATATATTTTATTTTTAAATATAACCTATTTATTTTTATTAAATTATTTTTTTTAAATATAATTTTACTTATTTTTTTATATATGCATTATTTAAATATGACTTATTTTTTAAAATATAACTTGATTTTTGGAATATGATATTTTATTTTAAGTATGATTTTCTATTTTTAAATATAACTTTATATATTTTAAAGATTTTTAAAACATTTTTTATTCCTCTCTTAGTTTTAAATTAATATTACATTCTGCATATAACCTCAATTCACAAGGTTAATATCCAGGTTTAATTTTATAAAACTTAAAGACAAATACATTCCACACTCACCTGACCACTATCTCGTGCCTTTCGTCTGACTGAAACATTGAAATGGATAAATTATATATTAGTTTTTCGCCGGTTTTTTTTCAGTCTATACCTAGGTTGAATAAGTCTGATGAATTTCGTCGGTTGAAATAAGCTTATTCCCCATATGAGGTGATTTTGGATTTTATTATGTATGATTCCTTTCCTTTCCTCTCCTTTCTTTCCTACTTTCCTTCCTTCATTCCTGCCTCTTTTTCTTACACTTTCTCTTCCCCTATCAAGTATCTATCCCCCTTTCTCTTATTCTTACTCTTTCTATAAACATCTTCTTCTATGAAGCCTCTTCTTTCTTTCCTCCTTTCCTGCCTTCATTCATTCCTTTTATTCTTACTTTCTCTCTAAACATCTTCCGCTATGAATTCTCTTCCTTCTTTTCTCTTATTCTTACACTTTCTCTTCCCCTATCAAGTATCTATCCCCCTTTCTCTTATTCTTACTCTTTCTATAACCATCTTCTTCTATGAAGCCTCTTCTTTCTTTCCTCCTTTCCTGTCTTCATTCATTCCTTTTATTCTTACTTTCTCTCTAATCATCTTCCGCTATGAATTCTCTTCCTTCTTTTCTCTTATTCTTACACTTTCTCTTCCCCTATCAAGTATCTATCCCCCTTTCTCTTATTCTTACTCTTTCTATAACCATCTTCTATGAAGCCTCTTCTTTCTTTCCTCCTTTCCTGCCTTCATTCATTCCTTTTATTCTTACTTTCTCTCTAATCATCTTCCGCTATGAATTCTCTTCCTTCTTTTCTCTTATTCTTACACTTTCTCTTCCCCTATCAAGTATCTATCCCCTTTCTCTTATTCTTACTCTTTCTATAACCATCTTCTTCTATGAAGCCTCTTCTTTCTTTCCTCCTTTCCTGCCTTCATTCATTCCTTTTATTCTTACTTTCTCTCTAATCATCTTCCGCTATGAATTCTCTTCCTTCTTTTCTCTTATTCTTACACTTTCTCTTCCCCTATCAAGTATCTATCCCCCTTTCTCTTATTCTTACTCTTTCTATAACCATCTTCTTCTATGAAGCCTCTTCTTTCTTTCCTCCTTTCCTGCCTTCATTCATTCCTTTTATTCTTACTTTCTCTCTAATCATCTTCCGCTATGAATTCTCTTCCTTCTTTTCTCTTATTCTTACACTTTTCTTCCCTATCAAGTATCTATCCCCTTTCTCTTATTCTTACTCTTTCTATAACCATCTTCTTCTATGAAGCCTCTTCTTTCTTTTTCCTCCTTTCCTGCCTTCATTCATTCCTTTTATTCTTACTTTCTCTCTAATCATCTTCCGCTATGAATTCTCTTCCTTCTTTTCTCTTATTCTTACACTTTCTCTCCCCCTATCAAGTATCTATCCCCCTTTCTTATTCTTACTCTTTCTATAACCATCTTCTTCTATGAAGCCTCTTCTTTTCTTTCCTCCTTTCCTGCCTTCATTCATTCCTTTTATTCTTTTTCTCTCTAAAACATCTTCCGCTATGAATTCTCTTCCTTCTTTTCTCTTATTCTTACACTTTCTCTTCCCCCTATCAAGTATCTATCCCCTTTCTCTTATTCTTACTCTTTCTATAACCATCTTCTTCTATGAAGCCTCTTCTTTCTTTCCTCCTTTCCTGCCTTCATTCATTCCTTTTTATTCTTACTTTCTCTAAACATCTTCCGCTATGAATTCTCTTCCTTCTTTTCTCTTATTCTTACACTTTCTCTTCCCCTATCAAGTATCTATCCCCTTTCTCTTATTCTTACTCTTTCTATAACCATCTTCTTCTATGAAGCCTCTTCTTTCTTTCCTCCTTTCCTGCCTTCATTCATTCCTTTTATTCTTACTTTCTCTCTAAACATCTTCCGCTATGAATTCTCTTCCTTCTTTTCTCTTATTCTTACACTTTCTCTTCCCCTATCAAGTATCTATCCCCCTTTCTCTTATTCTTACTCTTTCTATAACCATCTTCTTCTATGAAGCCTCTTCTTTCTTTCCTCCTTTCCTGCCTTCATTCATTCCTTTTATTCTTACTTTCTCTCTAATCATCTTCCGCTATGAATTCTCTTCCTTCTTTTCTCTCTTTTTCTTACTCTTTCTTTAAACATCTTCTCCAACTTCCCTTATTTCTTTTATATTTATTTCTTGCACTTTTTCCTTCTTTTCTTTACTGCTTATTTTTTTATCAGATATTTTTAACTTCTCTGCCAATATCAATATTTCTTTTAAAATATCACTTTTCCTTGTCTTTCTCATGCTTTCGTGTCTGTCTCACGTTTTGTCTTTTCTTCAACTTACCACGATTCCCTAAAGACTAAACTATCCACACGCTTAACCACTTGCTTCTCTTTGATACAAAGATGGACCTCCAAGCACAAATAAGTTCGCTGTCAATGGAGCCAAAGCTGTCCGTAAACAAATAACAATTGCTTCCTCTTCCTCCTGATCCTGGATTTCCCACCAAAGACTCTCACGCCTCTAATAGTAACGATTCAGTCCGGCCATTCTTTTGTGATGACCCAAGTCAATGAACTGACCCAAGCCAACAGATTTCAGGTTCTAGAGATTGGCAGGTCTTTTGTGACTCAATATGTGTTCAGCAGACGCCCACAATAGCCTCCATACACTAATATATCAACATTCGTATATATATATATATATATATATATGTGTGCGTGTGTGTGTGCGCGTGTGTGTGTGTGTGTGTGCGTGCGTATACACGCACATACACACACATTACGTATATGCATTTGTTTTCCTATATATGTTTCTGTACATGAGAATCTACCGGTAAGCTATGGGGACGAACAAGAAGTGTATCGCCAAATTTCAATGTCTGGTCAGGTCTGGTTTTGGGTGGAAGGCTGGGCCGAAAACTTTTCTGTACAGCCTTATATATATATATATATATATGTGTGTGTGTGTGTGTGTGTGTGTGTGTACATAAACTCACTAACACGAGCCAGCTTTCATCTTTCAATTCATCTGTGCTTTGACCTTTCATCTTCAAAAAATAAAAATTTCGTGTCGCAATAAAAAAAAGTCTTTTCGGTATCTTGTGACATGAAAGCTCCCAAACTTTTGTATAGAATGGGACATTTGTGAACTGATTATTCACGTCTTCCAATTACTGGCTAAACTGATGGGGATGCAGAGCAAGACATCTGATCCAGTTCACTGTTTTTGTGACAAAATTCAACACATCATCTAATTTTAAAATCTTAGAACATAAGTTCTGTTAATGAATTATACAGTGAAAATACCTGAATGTTGTATCTGGATATATGTTTTTCTATTTTCGTACCTAATTTTGGCGGCAACATCATTATGTCTCCCAACCATACTGGCAGCACCATCAGTTGATAAACTCACAATTTTACTCAAATGAAGACCATACTCATGGAGAAGCTGTTTAACTTTCTCAAAAATGTCCTGGCTTGTTGTAGTATCATGTATTGAGACCATTTCAATTAGTTCTTCATAAATTTGAAATTCATTGTCACAAGACCTGATGAAAATGGCGAACTGTGCTATTCCAGCTATATCAACAGTCTCATCCAGAGAAATAGAAAAAGTTCAAAACTTGATGATAAGTCTTCAACCTTTGACTCAAATCACCTGTCATTTCATCAATCCTTTCAGCAACAGTGTTCCTGCTTAATGAAATGTCTTGAAATAAATGTGACTTCTCTGGACATACAATTTCAGCTGTTTTTTCAAAGACATCGCAGAATTCAAAGCTTCCAGTAACAGAACTAACGTTGCCATTCTGAATTTTTGTAAAGCAACTCTGTTGCTGTGCTAATTTAACCTTGAATTTCTTCACTTTTGAAACATGCATATCTCCTTCATATTTATCATAAGATTGATGATTTGTTTCATAATGTCTTTTCACGTTTTATTCTTTTTGCCATTGCAATGCAGTGGTTGCAAATCAAACAGTTTATCTTTCCATTAACAGTCGTACAAAATGACTGTATTTCCCACTTTACTTGAAACACACGTCCTTCTTCAGATAATTTTCTCTTTTTACGAGATGGAATAGAATTCGACATCTTTAAGGCAAAATATTACAAAATTACGAACATTTTCACTTTGCATTTGTTCTTATTTAGTTGTCAAGGATGAACACGTGATTAACCGGAAGTTAAAAATAGTCGCTGACATTCGAAAAGAAAAAAAAAATATTGAGATAGAATAAACAATCTAATCATACCAATTAAAAAAAAAATCTCACTGTTTTTAATAATTTGCATTATCAATATAGATAAAATTCTTGATATACCACGGCTATAGAAACCTTTGTGAGGGCCGCCAAGATGCATGTAAAAGGCCGCATGCGGATCACGGAGCGCCCGTTTGACAAACCTGATCTACACGATCCAGATAGATACATTTATGTACCTGTTTGCTTCTGATGTCAACAATTCTAAGCTCGTGCGCTTCTTTCTTTCTCTTGCTATCAGCCATACATACTTATTATAGATAATAGTTCTTTCTTCATGTTTTCCTTTACTACTTTATCTTTTTTTTAATCGAGTTCATCTCAAGCAAGGCGGTAAAGCCACTAAGACACAAGGGGTGTGGAAAAATCAGAAACGGAAACATTACTAGAAAGCGAGAACAAAATAAGAGTAATCAGGAGGACAGTAGATAGCGATTGACATTGCATTTACATTTTTGAAGATCTAAAAAAAAAACAATGGAAAAGAGAGGTAACAAAATGTAAATGAAATAGCTCCAGTTTGTTCAACTTAGGAAACTTAGCATTGCAGCCAAAGTATTCTAAAATGCTGCCAATAACAAAGGAGAAAATGAAAAATACCAAACAACAAATCGAATATAGCATCAAAATTGATATTATTTTTATTTTTTTTATTATGTAACCAAATAAATAATTGTTAACAATGTTTCTGTAAAACTTGATATTTCATGTAATAAATTGTTAAAAATATTATTATTGTTATTATTTTACTTAAATGTAAGGTAGTCCTACATTTACAATTCCTTAAGGCTAACCATGAAAAGAAATGTTGATCAAAACTGCCTAAAACCTTTAAACGCGTATTGCAGTAAAATTATCAAATGTTGAAAACAGCCTCCTCTGCCAAAAGCGTCATACACGCTTCAAGTATTGTCTTAAGTTTACAATGTCTAAAAATGCTTGTGGTACTAATGACTGTAACTCATTACGTCTTGAAGACCAAGGATTGAACTTACAACGCCCTGATGCACAGGACCATGTGCCTTTGGGGACATTAGTAAGTGAATTTTGGGGAATTCTAAATCTAATGTTTTAGTAAACATTTCTTTTAGCAGGGCAGAGCTCAAATCACCTTTTTTTTTTAGTGTAAATAGTTATTATATAAATATTTACACTAAAAAAGAAATTATAGACATGTTTTTGCCTCTTTGACATGTCTGTTATCAGTATTTGTTCTTTTTGTTTCCCGAACAAATGAATGTCTGGGTGTGTCAGGTTAGGAGGGTGGGAGCTCTTAAGTTAGCAACCAGGTTCATTGGTAGTATCTGTCTGAATTCTATGAACCCATATTGTACGGACTTTGCAGTAGCCATGAAACGTCACAAAACTGCAGACACTACCATGACTCACCTGCAATACTTTTAAAATTGCAATCACCAACTGTAATGAAAGACTCAGTATATTTATCCTTATTCACCTTCACGACAGCAAATGGCTTGCATTAAGGGGGGGGGCTGTCAGTAAAGTAAGTTTCTCTTTTCTCTCTAGGATTGCCATTAAATCTACTGACGCATGTTCACACTGTGCAATATTTCCATAAACATTCACTAACCTCCTGTGAATGTTTGCTGCAACCCCGTTTCCAAAAAACAGAAATTCTATGACATCTACTTTGGTTCCAACTTGCTGCCAGAGGAGCAACCATTTTGAAAAAAAGGATTATGGACCAGAAAAATAACGCCCCATATGTCTCCACAGGGTTTTTAAATGCGTTAGAGTTTACAGCTAAAGAAAAAAGGGTAAAAAAAAACCACCAAAAATGAACACATACGTTTTGATTAATACTACAAAAGTTAAAAAGAATAGGAATTACTTTTTAACAATACACGTATATATATATATATATATATATATATATATATATATATATATATATATATATATATATATATGTATGATATCTAACGTAGACCTGTTTAACAGGTGGAATGTTGGAGGAATCGAGACTTTATCATACAGTCTCACGGTGG